TAGGGGTGGGCAGAGGAGGGGTGAGGACCTTTGGGAACTCACTGCCTGGGGCCTCCACAACTGTGGAACCCACCCTGGAGGAAGGTCCAACCCCACATCAGAGGGACAGGACTTCTCTCCTCTTGCAGCTGCCACTTCTGGATACCCATCCTGGTCTGGAGTAGCTACCATTCCCTGATCTGGGGTCGATACAGCGGTGAGCTTCTGCCATCCACTCCTGTGTGACTTCCATTTTCTCAGGAGCCTTGGTCTCCATCTTCCTCTGCAGACCCCCCAAGACAACCTGTGGTGGAGTCCTTCCTGGAGACACAAGAAGGACACCTGGGCGTCATCCAGTGTACGGTGGACAGCAACCCGCCGTCTGAGATAGCTTTGCACAAGGGCGACACTCTCCTAGGCTCCACGAATGCCTCCTCCTCGCCGGCTGACCCGAGGGTGAGCGTGACCCAATCTCACAACACGCTCAAGGTGAGCATCAAAGGCGTCGCGCTGGAAGACGAGGGGCGGCTCGTGTGTTCGGCTCAAAACCGCTATGGAGACTCGAGCACCTCTGTTGACTTCACCGCTGAAAGTAAGTGAGATGAGAAAAATCTGTGTTCTTAGTATTAAGACTCACAAGGTCAAAATGGGGCCCTCGGGGATAGATATAGGCGGATAAATGAACTGGGCAATATCCAGTAGAAGGATACCCACGTGAGCAGGTAGGTTCAAGTCCAGAAGCACCTTTGTTACGATAGAGATTTTGGCTTTCTAGCTTTCGAGAGCCAAATGTTCCTTCGCAGGGGGCATTTTGTAGAAAATGAGGTGCAGGAGCTCATTAGCATAACTTATTTGCATATGCCACACCCCCTGACATCACCGGAAGTGTGTCAGAAGGCAACACCCACCAATCAGGCTCCGCTGGACTGTTTTGGATTGCTAGCTGTTGGGGGTGGGGAAACATGCAGATCTGTCCTCGCAGAGGAGGGAGAGCTTGTACCTGAATAAAACCTGGTATTAAAGGTGCCACTGGACTGTTTTGGACCGGGGGGGCTCTGCAACTTACCTGGCTGCTTCTTGCTCTGACTGAGGGCTGCTGGGAGCAGGGGGTGGGGCTTGTTGCATGCCCCCGCCCCCTGGGCTCTTTACTGCCGGAGCTCCGCTCCTGTGTGCTCCCTCAGGGAATGACCCCTGTCCCTTCGTCAGACACTTCAGGGCTTTGACTCTCCAAAGTTCTTTCTCCCAAAATCGTGCTGGGCTCTAAGGTGCTTCTGGACTTGAATTTATCTACTGCAGACCAGCATGGCTGCCCTGGAAGCACTAGAACCCATAATGTGGTTGCAGATTCTCTGGAAAAAGAACTAATCTTATATTCATTCATTCATTCATTCATTCATTCAACTTTTACTCGCCCTCCCCGTCGAACCACTAAAACGTGTTCAACAAATCATTAGATGTAGGAAGCAAATCCAGAAATTGCAAAGGTACTTATTTCTGGGTTTCGTTTGTAGCAGGCAAAGGCTTTGTTTTCTTTTGCGTTCCCTCACACGATCTTATTATCCTTTCCTCTTGTTTGTATGTTTATACGTGTTTAAGTGTCTATCTGTTTTATTTAATTGTTTCAAATATTTGATAGATAGATTTTTTAAATAGCATCTTATTGAAGGATATATTGCAAAGTTAAAAGCATATAAAGCACCATACTCAGGTGATGAAATATATTGTTGTCGTTCAGTCGCACAGTCGAGTCCGACTCTTTGCGTCCCCATGGACCACATCACGCCAGGCCCTCCTGTCCTCCGCCGTCCTCCGGAGTCTGCTTAATTTCATGTTTGTTGCCTCGATAACTGCCTGACCATCTCATCCTGTGCCATCCACTTCTTTTCTGACCTTCAATCTTTCCCAGCACCGGGGTCTTCTTCTTTGACCTTCAATCTTTTCCCAGTATCAGGTTGAAATATACATGCCAGTTTACGTGTCAGCATAGTGCTTTGCAATATTGAGTATAGAGTGTTTCGGGGTTTTTTGTTAATTATATACAATAGAACAGAAGAATTAACAACAGCATAGATAGAGGATGGACGGACAGACGGACGGACAGATAGATAGATAGATGTTTTTCACTGTCTGAAATGTTTTAATGCTTCCCACCTTGGGGACTTTGAATTGGATGGAAAGGTGGCATAGAATGTGTTATGTATGCGGACCGCCACCAGGGGTCCGCGGTTACAGTATGGTGCTTAGTTCTCCTAAACAAAGGGACCTAGGATCCTGGTATCCACCAATAGCACCTTGGCAGGAAATTCAAACCCTCCAATGGGACTGTGGGTGTGCCAGGTGTGTGTGTATATAGTTGGCCTTGCAGGGTCGTTTTGCAGTTCCTGTGTGAAGTACAATAAACGCGTCTGAACGCATGTCGTAGTCCGAGTCCTCCATGCGTCGAACCCAGTACTTTTCAGAAAGGTTTTAAATACATGAAACGTATGCTTTGCCTTTTACCCCCGCCCCCCCAAGACAGCATGCAGAGAATTTACATCCTGCGGTTACGAATGAACCAGATCTGCAGTTGTTCCGGATGCTGCTCGGCCAAAGGGGTCTTGTTCTAACCAGCATCTCCATCCTTCTCTCCGATCCACCTTTAGCCGCGAGGATCGTCCTGACGCCGTCCCCAGAGGTGCCCGAAGGCCAGGAGGTCCGTCTGTCCTGCCTCGTGAGCAGCGATGCCTCCACCTCGGCCAACTACACCTGGTACCGGAACGGACTCTGCCTGCCGGAAGCCCTCGGGGACTCCCTGGTGTTCCCCCAAGTGGCCAGAGGGGACGCAGGGGTGTATTTCTGCCGGGCAGAGAGCCATAGAGTCAGCAAAAGCTCAGCCTCCGTCACCTTGTCTGTGCTGTGTAAGAGCGAACAGATTTTTTTCTTGCATTCAAGGAACCAGAGAACACAATATTAAGACTGTTTCTGAAGCATTGCTTATATGACGAACAGAAGACTGTATACGTTTAGGTCCTAGATGTCCTGCTGCATACATCTCCCATACAGTGAAATGCAATCTGGGTTTTACTCCAGTGGATGCAAACCAAAGAGAGAGATCACGGGATGCAGGTAAGGTAAAGCTAAAGGTTCCCTTGCTCGAAAGCCAGTCGAGTCCGACTCTAGGGTTGCGGTGCTCATCTCCGTTTCCAAGCCAAAGAGCCAGCGCTGTTTGAAGACATTTCCGTGGTCATGTGGCCGGCATGACTAAACACCAAGGCGCACGGAACGCTGTTCCCCTCCCACTGAAGTGGTCCCTATTTATCTCCTTGCAATGTCTTGCTTTCGAACTGCTGGGTTGGCAGGAGCTGGAGCTAGAGACGGGAGCTCACTCCGTCATGCGGCACACTCGGGTCTCGAACTGCTGAACTACCGACCTTCCACAGCCTGCAGTTCAGCGTCTTAACCACTTGAGCCACCGCAGATGCAAGTAGAAAGGAACAAACCACCATGATGTATTGTGCCAAAAAAAGTCTTCACAGGCTTGAAAATTCTTTTTCAATAATCCGTTTACTTGAAGCAATTCAAACGCTATCAACACCAACGAACCATACATATTGTATCTGACAAATGCCGGGCTGGCAGCAATTACGGGCTTTAGATATGTGTAAGTGAGCAAGAAGAGTAGATTTACATTACACTAATGGACTTGATGAGTGTTACTAGGAGAGATGACTAGAGTGCTTGCCAAATGGATTAATAGTGTAAGTACAATGAGCCTGCTTGTCAGGCAAGGCGGGATAAAAATCGAAATGAATACATAAATATAATATAAAACAGCCAGTTGTTTGTACAACCTTGCGTTTCTTTTTTGCCAGGGCTTTTTTTGTAGAAAAAGCCCAGCAGGAACTCATTAGCATAATAGGCCACACCCAACAGCAGAAATTCATTAGCATATTAGGCCACACCCCTGACAGCACAGGTCATTAGCATATGAGGCCACACCCCTGTGTTACCAGACGTGTGCTCATCCAGCCACACCCACCTTTTGCTTCTTATTCTGTTTACCTTCTTTGTTGTCCAAACCCAGGGCCTTTTTTTGTAGCAGGGCCACACACCCCGAATGTAGCCATTCCTAATGAGTTTCTGCTGTTGGGTGTGGCCTATTATGCTAATGCGTTCCTGCTGGGCGTGGCCAACTCGGGAGCCAGCCGGAACTCCATTCCTGTGCGTTCCTGCCCAAAAATAGCCCTGTTTTTTGCTAATACTAATAATAGAAATTTATGTTTGTAATTAGATATAGGTATTTCAACGCCACCCACTTGGATAAAGTTGTACACGAAACGAGATACAATATGCATGGCTCGTTTGTGCTGCTGGCGTTTGAATCGCTTCAAGTAAAGTGAATATGGGAAAAGAATGTTCAAGTCTGTGAAGACTTCTTTTTTTGGCATGATACATCACGGTGGTTTGCTTCCTTCCAGCCTCCAGGTGGGGCCTGGAGATCTCCCAGAATTCCCACTGATCTCCAGACTGCAGAGATCATTTCTCCAGGAGAAAATGGCTGCTTCGGAGGGTGGGCTCCGTGGCATTCCATCTCACTGAGGCCCCTCCCCTCCCTAAACCCCGCCCTCCCCAGGCTCCACCCCCCAAATCTCCAGGGATTTCCCAACCCAGAGCCAACAACCCTAGAAAGAGGCTTGGGGCAGGGCTGTGACATAGGGTGATTTGCTGCCCCGACCTCACATCCGTGAGGGAAAGCCACCCATAGGTGCTACAGGAGTCTCTGGAGGAGGGGCTGCCTGGCAGGATTAGGCAAGGCTGGGGCAGGGGGAGGCTAAGCCCCACCCCCCATGCCATTTCCCCAATCCGGAAGGGTCTTGTGAGGCCACTATTTGCCCATTGGGATGAGGGTGGCGGTACTGATCCAAGACGGGTGTGCTTGCCCGAGTGGGGCAAACAGTGGACCGCCTTGCCCCACATGTTCCCCCAAGGGCACTACGGTCAGGGACTCAACATCTACTGGCTGTTCCAGGTCCGTGAGTGTGAGCTAGCTCATAGTTTCCTAGCCTCTGGCTCACACATTTCTGCCTTAGCTCAGGAAGGAGGGCTCCGGAGCAAACTAGTTTAAGCAGCAGCCCAATCGCTCGCTCACGACTTTAATGCCAGTTGCAGCTCACAAAGTAGAATTTTTGCTCACAGGACTTCACAGCTTAGAGGGAGCGTTGGTCCCAACCCCCTTCCCCACAGTCTGAATTGGAAGTGGGCCGATCTGATTTCTACCAGGGGTGAAAATCCAGGCTACTCCATTCCCACAACTCATGAACAAACAAAGCTGCCTTCTAATGAATCAAACCATTGGTCCATCGTAGTCAGCATTGTCCACACAGACTGGCATGCTTCCAGGGTCTTGGCGGAAGTCTTTCCCATCACCTCCTGCCAGATCCTACCTGACAGCCAGTTTGGTGTAGTGGTTAGGAGCATGGACTCTAATCTGGGAGAGCCGGGTTTGATTCCCCCACTCCTCCACATGCAGCTGCTGGTGTGACCTTGGGTCAGTCACAAGTTCTCTCAGAGCTGTCCTCTAAACAGCGTTCCTCGAAAGAGCTCTCTCAGCCCCGCCTACCTCACAGGGTGTCTGTTGTGGGGAGGGGAAAGGAGATTGTGAGCTGCTCTGAGACTTGTTTGGGTAGTGAAGGGTAGAAGAAGAAGAAGAAGAGAAGAGATTGGATTTATACCTCACCCTTCACTACCCAAAGGAGTCTCAGAGCAGCTTACAAACTCCTTTCTCCTTCCTCTCCCCACAACAGACACCCTGTGGGGTAGGTGGGGCTGAGAGAGCTCTGACAGAAACTGCCCTTTTTCAAGAACAGCTGTGCCAGAACTATGGCTTGCCAGGTGCAAGTGGAGGAGTAGGGAATCAAACCCGGTTCTCCCAGATTAGAGTCCGCGCACTTAACCACTACACCAAACTGGGTAGGGTATAAATCCAATTTCTTCTTCTTCACTGGAGATGCTGGGGACTGAACCTGGGACCTTCTGCATGCCGAGCAGATGCTCTTCCACTGGGCCACGGACCCTCTCTAAATGATACTGCCTTATCCTGAGTCAGATCCTGGGTCCATCAAGGCCAGGCTTGTCTACTCAGACTGGCAGTGGTTCTCCAGGGTCTCAGGCAGAGGTCTTCCACGTTATCTACTGCCTGGTCCTTTCAACTGGAGATGCCGGGGATCGAACCTTTGAGCTTCCGCATGCCAAGCAGAGGCTCTTCCACTGAGCCACAACCCCTCCCTGAGTATCTCATCTCTGCCTGCAGTGGGTTCCGGCGCTCACTCCCTGGCATATCCAGTTATCTCACGGAGCAGGAATTGGGGGGAGATCCTTCTCTGCCAGTCAAAGGAGATAGTTTTAAGCTCCATTGACCAAGTGTTCCACCTTGCCCAAGGCAGCTTTCGAGCGGTGCTCCTGCACCAATTTGGTCATGCGTCCGCCCCACCTAGACATAACTTCCCAGCAGCGTGTGTGCGTCTTTTCCAGACCCTCCAGAGCCTCCTCGAGTGGCCGTCTTTGTGGAGACGGAGAAAGGAAGGACGGCCCTCTTCCGTTGTTCTGCAGACAGCAATCCCCCCGCCGAGCTAAGTCTCTACAAAGGAGACCACCTCATCGCCTCCACCGGTGCTCTCAGCGCGGCCCTCCCAAGGGCCCGGGTCTCCGCCACCCCCAACGCCATGCGTGTGGAGATGGGAGACATCGTACCGGAGGACGAGGGCGGCTATCGTTGCGTCGCTGCCAATGTATACGGTTCCTCCATCGCGCGCCTGCATTTCCACGTGCAAAGTAAGTGAAAAGATGTGCAGTTCTGTTCACCGCCGATCTCTGTCGAGTCAGGCGAGGTCTCCAGTGTTTACTTCTGTTCAGGGGTCATTTCGCAGAAAAAGAGGTGCAGGAGCTCATTAGCATAACTCATTTGCATATGCCACGCCCCCAGCATCACCGGAAGTGTGTCAGAAGGCAACACCCACTGCTCAGGCTCCACTGGACTGTTTGTACCTGAATAAAACCTGGTCTTAAAGGTGCCATTGGACTGTTTTGGACCAGGGGGCTGGCGGGAGCTCTGCAACTTACCTGGCTGCTTCTTGCTCTGACTGAGGGCTGCTGGGAGCAGGAGGTGGGGCTTGTTGCATGTGCCCGCCCCCTGGGCTCTTTACTGCCAGAGCTCCACTCCTGTGCGCTCCTGCAGGAAATGACCCCTGCTTCTGTTCTGCAAACATTTCTCACTGATGTGAGAGCCAATTGATCTGCTCTTTGAGATCCAGGATTCGGCTAGTACTGCGGACTGTGGTCCCCAAAAGCTTCTGCTACAGGACCCAGATATTCCTTCCTTATAGATCTTGACATGTTTTAAGAGAGAATAAAAACTTTTACTTCCAAATGAGTCCTGGGAACATTCGAGGCCTTTCTTCCAATAAGACAGGACTCTCGGATCAGCCCTCGCTTTCAATCTAGAGTGGCGCCTTTCTTCAAATTATTTTTAAAAGATCATACCAGGTCACTTTACCTAAAGACTTTAACGGCAACAAAATCAAGGAGGGCCTTTACCAGCTTAAGATTTCAAGCTATGCCCTCGAGGGTTCGCACCGGCTGTTTCCTCAGGGTCCCTGCCAGTGTCCCCTCTAAGCGGCAGAGTCCTGTGAGCAAAAGTTCTCCTTTGTGAGCGACTGGCATTAAAGTTGTGAGCGAGCAACTTGACTACTGCATAAAAGAGTTTGCTCTGGAGCCCTCCTTCCTGAGCCAAGACAAAAATGTGTGAGCTGGAGGGTAAAAAAATGTGAGCTAGCTCACACTAACTCAGCTTAGAGGGAACATTGGCTTAGGCCATCTAGGTCTGAGCCGTTTTGCTAGTCTTTAAGGTGCCACTTAACTCTTTTCTGCTGCTACAGACCGACTAACAGGGCTACCCATCTTGATCTAGTGCCATTTATAATTAGTCACCGATAATTAGTAATAGATGCGTATCTACAACATTTTCCAGTATTC